CCGTTAGTTTGATGATGGTGACGATGCTGCTGATGATGACGATGATGATACTGATTACGATGATGGTGATGATGATGATGATGCCGACGGCGACGATGATTGTGCTGATGATGATGGTCGCGATGATGCTGATGATGATGACGATGTTGCTGATGATGATGCCGACGACGACGGCGAATTGCATGTTTATGGTTGTGTTGGTTATGATGGTGGTGATGGTCATGCTGATGATTACTGTGATGATGACGATGGTGCTAATGATGTTGATGGTGGTGGCGGTGGTGGTGATGATTGTAGTGGTGGTGGCGGAGGTGGTGATGACGATGATGATCATGACGATGCTGATGATTATGCTGATGATGATGACGATGTCGATGACGATAACGATGATGATGGTGATGGTGATGATGCCAGCGACGACGATGCTCATTCTGATGGTGATGGTGATGCTGATTATGATGATGATGGTGATGATGCTGGTGATGATGCCGATGCTGGTGCTGATGCTGATGATGGTGTCTACTGGTACTGATGACGATGGGAACAGTTCGTATGGCGGGAGGGAGAAGGGAGACGCCATGATGGATATTGATGAGCACGGACGATGTCCACGATGATGACGATGACGATGAGTGATGATGGAGAGTAAATCTGCGAATGATGGTTATGGTGAACATGATGGTGATGATGATGATGATCATGATGCTGATAATGATGATCATGCGTATGATGCTGATGATGCTGCTAATGATGATATTGTTGGCAGTGGTGGTGATGATGATCATGATGATGATCAGTACGATGTTATTAAGGCGATGATACGATGATGCTGATGATGGTAATGACGATGATGATGACGACGATGATGATGCTGATGATGATGATTATGATGATGATGATGATGATGATGAAGATCATGGTGATGATGATGGTGGCGAGGATAGTGACGCTGCACCTTCTGATGATGGTGGTGATGATGATCATGATGATTTTATTGTTGAA